TACTTTTACAGTACCTAGAAATGAAGTTCTCAGTCATTTAATATTCATGAAAAGAAAACAAACTGCTATTGCGAGCAAAACATCAGACAAAAGTGGAAGGAATTTGCAAGAAAAGCCAAAGGGCAGAGTTTGAAAAATTTTACTCTACTACTAAGAATCTTGATTAAAGGTCCAAATGACCACATTATTGAATTCATACTTTGGGTCAGAACATTGTGCCAGAAACAATGTGCATTTCACATGCCTAGTTATTCACATAAACTTGTGACTTTATTTGTGGTGAAAAGGCAGTAAGCCCTCATTTCTTCTATCCCAAATGTGCTTGTTTTCATTATGGCTATCGCTATGCGCTTGTAGCTTTTCATCAGGGAGCTTAATGGGACATGTACAAATACAATAGCTCCACCCGCCCAATGTAGAAGTTACAGAGAAGAAATTACCATGATTTGGGGATAATAATAATGGTGTTACTTTGGGCTATTGATCATGTGACTCTACTGTCCCATTTGCTATGAATATCTTCTAGTTTTCTGGAAGACAGTCAAGGTACATGCTCTTCCACAGACTTTTTGAGTATTGAAGAATGGTGTAGTTGTTCTGACTCTAGGGTTTGTTCTGGGAGAAGTGGGAAGGGCTCTTTTATAATGCTATGATTTTATAGGGTTGCTGTAGAGCAGTGTTTCTCAACCTTAGCAAGTTGAAGCTGTATGGACTTCAACTCCCAGAATTCTCCAGCCAGCTATAGGGAGTAAGGCTGAGCCCTTAGGGTAGCAGGCTGGAATCATCAGATTTATCACCTAAAAGCCCTCTGCGTCTTCACACTCTGGCCCTGTCTCCAGCCCTGGGTGTTCCTGCTGCTATAAACTATCTTACAGATGAGCACTCACTTGTCAATCTTTTCCCCAACCTCTGGTGTGTGAAAGAGATAGGGCTCCCCCATATTGTTGCCTTTCCAGTAAGGAAAACAATAATGCTTAAATAACGACTATAGCATCACCTCCCAGCAATATATCATCAAGGTGTGTGACTAGAGATATCAGTCCTTCTCTCTCTCTCCCCACCCCCTTTGGAAATAGGTCAATCTCACAAAAGATAAATGAAAAACAATTTTCTTTTTAAAATTTATTTGTGCCTTCAAGTCAGTCTTGACTACTGGTGACTGACTAGACAAGTCCCTGTAGTTTTCTTGGCAAGATTATAGGAAATGGTTTGCCATTGTCTCCTTTCTAATGCTGACTGGCCCAAAGTTATCCAGCTGACTTTGTGTCTAAGGCAGGATCCAAATTCATAGTCTCCCAATTTCTAGAGTGATTCCTTTAACCACTACACCAAACTGGCATATATTTATAATATGGAAGGTTGCCTAATCTAGAGCATAGATAAGAAGCAAGCTGGCATACAATATAAATGACCTTTCTGTCACATTAGTAGCTCATCTAATCATCAGAAATAACTAACAAAAATCCACCACTCCCCTAAAATGAGATTTGAATGGCAGATCGGTTGAACTAAAAATCCAAAAGACCACAATATGACATTGACCTCTTACAATTACCTGGGGCATTGAATTTTACAGATCTCAAAGAATTTCTCAGAGAAAAATTACCATTTCAAGAGATTTATAAGAAAATAACAATGAACAACCTCAGATACGAATATAAGACTAAAGTATAATATTATATAAATATTACATAATAAATATTATGTAATATATGTACAATATGACTAATCACTAAGCTTGTGATATTGGATTTAAGCATACACAGACAAGCCAAATTGAAACATAGCTTCTGCCTAAACTGTTTACCTATTTCCTAGAGGCAATCTGAAGCCCAGAGGAAAGTCCTTTCCTTCTTTCTCCTGGGCTTCATACAGGCTCTGGGAATAATTCCAGCCATTTATCAGAGCTCTTGAAGAGATGGAACATCCACTTCCTTTTCAGATCAGGTACAGCCATTTCTTTCTCTGTTTCCTGGAGCTCTGGATGTGATTTCAAAAGAACAATGCTTGATCCTATCCAGGAGGGGGAAGGGTGGAGTATCTGCCTTTGGTTTATGGGACCAAAGTCATGCTTTCTCTACTGCTGAATCTGCTTGGCAATAAGAAATGTGTATTCTCGATCTGGGAACCCAGCTGTCACTCTTGTGAGAACTGGCTAGCATCACGACAGTTGTAAACCACCAGGAGTCTTTACAAAATTGGTAGTATAGAAACACCCTAAATAAATCAATAAATCAAGAAATGTAGTCATGTGAGTAGAAAGGTGCTCCAGAATTTCTGTACTATTGATTATGCTAATTAAGTTAAGAACCTTTCCATTGCACAGGGAATAATGATACTTTACTCTGAATAATATAAATGAGAGCAGGATTCTGTACATGGTGTATGTTAAACATCATGACTAAAAGATACGTATCATTTGAAAACCACACAGCTATAAATAGAAAAGGCAAGGAAATCTCATTTTAGGGGAGTGGTGGATTTTTGTTAGTTATTTCTGATGATTAGATGAGCTACTAATGTGACAGAAAGGTCATTTATATTGTATGTGCTATTTGTGCTGATTAATAAGATTATTAAGAAAGATAATCAAATACAGGACTCCATCCTACAAATGTGACAAATTCAAATAAGCAAAACTGCATAGTTCAAACAAATCAAGTTCTGATTAACAAGCTAATTAGTATAGGCTGGATGGTATACTCACAGAGCTGGTTGGATCCAGCGCTGGTTTGAATACAGTATTCAGAAAATGTTCAGAAATGGTTCCTTATCAAACTGGAGTGAGTCATCAGTGGGGAGCCACAGAATTTGGTCTTAGACCTAGTACTCTTCAATACTTAAATTAATGTCTTGAAAAAGGAGTAGGGGGAATTATTTATTAGATTTAACAAAAGACACAAAAGGTGGGTGGTATAGTTAAGATTCTTTAGAAAATGAAAAAAGAACGAACATTCAGAATGCCTAAATTAGTGGACAAATTAGTGAAGTGGGCTGAAAATAACACCATGAAATTTAATAGAGGCAAATGCAAAATTTTGCATTTACCAAAAAAAAAAAAAAAAATCACATGCATAGTTTAAAGATGAAAAGTATACCGATCTATGTGAAAGGAATCTAGGAATCGTCTTCTCCCAGTAGGTTCTGCCGATCCAGTAAGATTTAGTTGGGAAGGCACCCTTTGAGTCTTATATTTGAAGAATTGTCATCACTGGGGACCATGGCCTTTTCTGTACTGTGTTCTCGTTCTCTCTCTCTCTCTCACTCTCAATGCTCCATCTGAGGGCAGATCACACCATTCCTGTTGGCATTTAGGAAGTCTGGGGACTGATGGTATGACAGATCCCTTCCATGCATTAGAAATTTTTTGTTGTTGTTGGGCTGGTTTTCCTCAATGGCTATGAAATTGATTGTTATTGGCTGGAGGGAGTTGGTTATTCTTCCCTCTCTGTTAAGTTCTTCAATCTGCTTTTGTATCATTAGTAAGCTGCTCAGAACCTTTTAGGAATTGAGCCGCATATAAATTGCAGCAATCAATAACAATTTAAGAAACAAAGGCAGTAAGAAATATTACGCTGAATATGCGTCAGAAGTGGGATGAGGCTTCTAAAAAGGCAAATGCAGTTTTAGGCTACATGAATAGCCATTTAGTTTCCAAATTCTGAGAAGTAGTAGTTGTGACTCCACCTCAAGTCCTGTGTCCAGATCTGGACATTCAGTTTTAAGAAAGACTGAGAAATGGAATTGGTCTAGAGAAGTATCAGAGGACTAGAAAATAAGAGAAGAGACTAAAGGAACAGGGTATGTTAGCAATGAGAAGCATTACCAGAAGGAATGTTTCAGAAAACGATTGAGACCCATTCCGTAATATCCTAGACTGCAGAATCCAGAATAACTGGTTTATGTCACAGAAAAACAGATTCTGGTTGAATATTAGTATCAGCCTTGTAAAGATAAGAGACTAGCAGTCAGTGATTAAGTGAGGTGGCTCCTTTCTCTGGATGTGATTATATACTGGGGAACTATATATTGGGGAGGCTTTAAGTGTACTCCTGCAATGAGTAGACAGTTGGACTTCATGACCTAAATGATTCCTGATATGGTGGTTCTACTGTATTCCAAGGAAGTGTGTTCAACTAAAACTGAGATTGCACAGCATTCTTGGTCCAACATCTCTCCCATTAACCCACTCCTTGCGTGAAGCTTGTGGTTACTTATCTAAACAGACTTTGCAATGAGCTTTGATTCATTGACTGCAAGTGGCCCTGGTTGCCATCATTTATTGACCAGCCTCACTAAACTTCAGTACAGCTTCTTATAGCAAATATACACTTAAACATGTGTTAATACATATTAGGGGACGAGTTGGAAGTGCCACTGTTGTAACCTCTGCATATGGTCTCTTGCTAAGTAAAACAAAATCTCAATTCTAAAACTATTAACAATTGTTAAAAACAATTAGTTGTTTTGTGGTAGACAACATGTTGGTTCAACAGGTTTAAAGCAATCGGATTAAAAAAAAAAAAAAAGACCTGCCTCTAGAGCAGGGTTTCTCAACCTTGGCAACTTTAAGACATGTAGACTTCAATTCCCAGAATTCCCCAGCCAGCATATGCTGGCTGAGGAATTCTGGGAGGTGAAGTCTATACATCTTAAAGTTGCCAAAATTGAGAAACCCTGCTCTAGACTTTCTCTTTCTGCATGTATGCATGTGTTTTTGTATATCTCAAAGAAAAAGAACACAGTGATGTTAAAGTAACATGGTGAAGCCATTCAAAAGATTGAAGTCTACACTAGGCTGCTACTTGCAAAGCCAACCAACCAAACCAACAACAGAAAACGCAATATTTCATTTAGCAGGAGGTGACAAAAGGCTTCAAAATGAATAGATTGTAATAGGCTTTGATCTTTTTTTCCTTCTAGGAGTGGTTTTTAAACATTAATTTTAGTTGTAATTCCATGCTTACTAAACACATTTACATTTCTTTGCACTCCTTTAGGCTAACATTAACTTTATCCTGTCCCATGGATCTAAAGAATTTTCCCATGGATGTACAAACATGTACAATGCAACTAGAAAGCTGTAAGTCAGATACTAGTTTTATTTAAAAAAAAAATGCCAGTCATATTCTGACTCTTTGAGATGCTAGCATTTGATATCACTTCATGTAGTATAATACTGTACTGAGTTTCTGGCATATACAGAGTGTGTCACTGAAGAAAATAAATGGGGAAAGCAAAACAAAACATTAATACAGTGTCTCTATTACAACTGCTACTATTTTTTACTTTTTTCTTTTTGAAAAGGAAAAAAAAATTTCATTGGCTTTAATTTTCCTTCTTTGTAATGGAACCCATTAAATCGTCTTAAGACCAGAGGGATTTTGAGAATACAGAACTAAATGTTCTAATTCAGCCTCCTATAACCTGGCAGAACCTGTGACTCTCCAAATCCCCTCTGAGCAGGTGGCTGGAAATTCTGATCTTTGCAGTCCCAATACATCTGGAAAGAGGTGACTTGGGGAAGAGGGTCCTACTTCTTGACCTTGAGGATTGAGTATGGCCTCTTTGGATGGGGAGAATAAATAAATTCTGAGCTATTTGCCAGTACTTGTCAATAAACAAGCTATTTGCTTGCTTTCTCTATTTCTTTCTCTCTAGTGATAGCATGCATGATTTTCACACTCAAGGTCTTGAATTAAAATTCTCTTTGGGTAATTATAATTCTTCAGTTGGAGGGCTGTTTGCCACTTGGAATGCATATCCAAGAATAAATACAGGGAGTAAATAGCAACATTTCTGAGGCAGGCCATTGGTGTGTACATCTTTGCATTTAACATACAGTGTCAATCCCCCACATCCCCAAAGGCAAACAGCATGAACTGGATGGAGTGATCATGGTCAGTAGTGACAGGTATAGAAGCAAATGTGGACCTCGATACTCCTGGGGTGCCCAGATGCAATATTTCTGGTGCTGCTAGGTAAACATAAATAGGATTGGAGACTTGACAGCCTCTGATGCAGATTTTTCCAATATAGAACTGTCCAAATGTATTAGACCTATAAGTACCTTAATTTGCAGCTGCCATGCTATTGTAATCTATAAATTGTAGCCTCAACTCACCTGGAGGATAAAAAGTATAGAAAATCCAATGCACTTCACTTTAACATATTAACATATTAATAATAATAATAATAGCATATTATTATTATTATTGCTATAGATATGCTTATGGTCACATGTTCCCCAAGTTTAATCTAGATACCCTAATTCATTGGTGCCATGCCATTCCTTGTGATAACCGTATTTATCTATTACCCGTGCTTTCTCTTTCAGAACTAAAGTAGTTTTCTACTGCTGCTATTTGCCTCTTGTAGCAACTCCATTATTATCTAATTACAAATGATTTGTTTGTTCTAGTTGGCTATACAATGAATGACCTAATATTTGAATGGATGAGTGATGGCCCAGTACAAGTAGCAGAAGGCTTAACTCTGCCACAGTTTATTTTGAAAGAAGAGAAGGAGCTTGGTTATTGCACAAAACATTACAATACTGGTAAGCACTGTGTTACTCAACAATGATCTCCAAAATGCATAGGCAACATTAGAAACTTATGGACAAGGTTAAAGGATCCTGGCTATTAATATCATTAATTACATAGATAAATCAATAAAAATTGATTGGATTACATTTCTGTTAAATTCAAATAATGAGCCAATGTACACATACCAGTCAAGCTGCAAATTAGGTATTGATTTATTTTGCCAATGTTGCATAATATCTATAACTGTTGATGTCTTGATAAATTCTAAATACTGGGAATATAGCCAAGGAAAACTTATTCATTGATGACAAACAGTGATCCCTCTTTAAAGTCATGCCAACAGCTCTAAGAATTTCTGACCAAAATTTGAAAATGCTAGAATAGGGCCGCCATATGAATTAGCATTGCAAATCCTGAGTTAAACTTCAAAGAACATATTGTTTGTAATCAGTCTTTATTCAATATATCTATTGTGTCCAATGTACCAAAAATAACATTGGCATGGCGCAGTGGTCAACTCAATGGGCTGGTATTTGGGAAATGCATGTTCTAGTACAGCTGCAGCTGCAGAAATGCACTGCCCAAGTCTAAGCTAGTTACTTTCTCCCAGCCCAGCCTACTTACAGGATTGTTACAGGAAAAATAAGAGAAGGGAATAGTATGTATGCTGCCTTGAAGTCCTGGCTGAAAGGTGGGATATAAATCTAACAAATAAATTTTAGAATGAAAAAAATGCAGCTTCATAGCTTTGAAAATTATCCATCAAATCACAGAAATACTTTTGATTTAATCTACTTCCTTCAATTTCTTATAAAAATACTGACTTCAAAACATCAATTCATTTTCAAGGCTTTAACAGATACAGAATTTCAAAGGGAAAAATGCCCCATTGAATAGGACATGATCCAGATGTGTAATTGGGATATCTCCAGCCACAAAGAGTCCCGAGGGCATGTATTCTCTAGGAGACCCATAATCAGAAGGAGCCTGGTAGCTCCTTTTTTAACTAACAAATTGTACTAAAGACATAAGCTTTTGTGAGCTTACATCCTTATTAAAGACCTGGGAGTGGGGAAGGGAGAAACCACTATCTAGTTGTACCCAGATAATTCTATTGTAGTTTGCAAACTACCAAAGAAAATAAGTGATAGAGCCAGAGAATAATTTTTAGGAATACCAGTTTGTAAATGCAGTTGGACATTACAGATTCATACCAAGTCAGATAATTATTTGCAGAATTTATGGATTTCACTAACTCCTGTTGCCAAAGTCATTTAGTTGTTCAGTTTTTTAAAACAGCTTGTCCCTTTAAAACATCAAGTCCCACTGCCAACAGATGCTCTCATCAACCTCTTTTGGGTCTGAATCTTCAAAAGCACTGTCTTGTTTATTAATTCAAGAAAAGTATAAAGCTATGTTAATTTTTAAAGCCCTCATTTTTTAAACATTAAACTGTATTCAACAAGCGAGCTCAATAAATTGTATCAATTGTTACAACTGTAGTTATCTTTGGGTAAAGTGATCTAAAAATCTCAAGTGACTAACTTGGGGTTGATTCCTTCAGGACAGAAAGTCAGTCAAGATATACGTTGTATTATTACTGAAGGAAATATGCCCATCCAATTGAATAATATCCAACATTTCACAGTCCATGGGTCTAAGGCAGTTAATTTACACTCATAATATAATAGGATTAAAATGTACAAAAGTGATTTATAAAAGTAATTTCATGTTCTAGGAAAATTTACATGCATTGAAGTAAAGTTTCATTTGGAGCGTCAGATGGGATATTATTTAATCCAGATGTACATTCCTAGCCTGCTGATCGTCATTTTGTCCTGGGTATCTTTCTGGATCAACATGGATGCTGCTCCAGCCAGAGTTGCTTTGGGCATAACTACAGTCTTGACAATGACCACTCAAAGTTCAGGCTCCAGAGCGTCTCTTCCAAAAGTAAGTACTTTCCACTTAATTCAGAAATAATGAAATAAATAAATTGAGACAATTTCTTATTATCTTTTGTATTATGTCCCTCATTTTTTTCATGCACTGAAATTATCAGTATGCCTACTTCTCTAAATGCTGTCTTAGTGAGATTGTGAATTGGATCTCTTTTGTTTCGTGTCTCTATAAGCAAGTGAAATTTGTTATATACGATGGAAGGGCAGAATTAAGATATACGGCATTACGTGAAATATGTTTCTCTTTAGTTGGATTGTGGACGGTAACTGGTTACTCAACCCTTTTTCTGGACTGAGGGCTGTACTCACCTTTTGAATGTTGACTAACTAAAAAGTAGCTGGGCAAAAGACAAAAGAAGTAGGTTGGTCAGTACAAAAATTATAAATGGTTTCATTTAAATTATATTAATTAAATACAGTTTATAGGATTGTCTTGCAAGCATTAATTTTCTCCTTTATTACATCATAATATATATTTGAAAAGGTTTTGGGGACTGAATCCAAGGTTTCAGGGGCTACATGGTTGCATATGTCTATGACACACAGTAGGAGATACTGTTAGCTCATTACAAATACTGAACTCTTTTAGCCTTTCACTAAAAGCAAGTAGTTTTAGCACACAACATGTATATGTATATGCCTATGTATATGTATGACATTTTACAGGACAGTTCAATAAAAGATAACCATATTTCATCCACTATCTAACCTCCCTTTTTGGGTAAGGTTGTTGGAGAAGGTGGTTGTGCAACAGCTTCAGAAGGCCTTGGATGAAATGGATTATCTGGATCCTTTTCAGTCCGGATTCAGACCTGGGTATGGG